ATTCTTCCTGAACTTGAGTTGTAGCCTGGTGCTTCCCTAATAAACCCCGTAATCCGTGAGTTCTGTGTGGCCACTGCCCAGGAGAGAGGTAGTGGGTGCTTTGGGAGGAACGGTTGGAGAAAGGGCTGGAGGGAGGCAGCATGTCTGGCCTGGCAGGAATAGGCCTTGGGTTACTGCTGGTCATCCTGTCTTCCTCTTGTGGGGTTCTAGGAGGTCAGAATATGAGGCCTCCTCATTGTTTTTACAGTGTAGTATAGTAGGATTAAAACTCCATCACTTTCTAATTATGCCTCTGCTCTTAAAAACCTTTTATTTTCCTTATTATACCATATGAATTTTAAAATGTTCACAATTAAAATACACAGTAGAACAAAAACCAAAGTTTATATAAAAGAGAAACCTAAAAACCTATGCCCATTGAATCAATTCCAGTTCATAGCAACTCCCTTAGGGTTTTGAAGGCTGTAAATCTTTATGGAGGTAGATTGCCTCATCTTCCTCTCCCAGAGCAGCTGGTGGGTTTGAACCACTAATCTGGTTAGCAGCCAAATACCATACCCACTATACAAGAGCTCCTATTTAAAGGATAGAATAAGCTAAATAAGGATATAAGGAACTTAACTATGGAATAAACATTCATAGACTCTGAATCTGGAATTAATTCACCTCTTTTCTTCCTATGATTATACTTTTTTAATTATAGCTTTTCAAATTGCGGCTTTCTTCCTCAGAGCAATATTTAACAGCAGAAACAGAAATTATCATTTCTTAATAAAATTACAATCTCTCACATAAATTTTTGTTATTTTAAGGGTCATGGAGGATTCTAAAGCTTTTAAAGATTTTTACTACAATCTCTGATTAATCAGACATTTAGAATTAAAAGCATGCAACCCCTAGATTTAACTTACTTTAAATTTGTATATACATAGTTTTTGCTTAATTTATTCAGGATCATAACACACTACCAAATTCACTAAAGAAAAAAAACCAAACATCTAATTAATTCCCCCAAAGCTATCCTGAAAGAGCTATAAGGAGCTCCAGACATTTTCAATAATGTAACATGCTCTTAAATTTAAATTTCATCCCATCTCTGATGCTAACCCCATTGCTGGCCCCACCTCTAAGAATGAATAAGGGTCAAATATGGCATGAACTTCAGGGCTAAAGCTTAGGGCCATCAGACAAGCCACATCCTTGGTCACTTCAGAAAAGGCCACCCTAGCAAAAGTTTAAGAAGGTAACCAAAATCTCAGAAGAAATGAGTCTGTGAGTCCAATAGCTTACATGAGCCATGACATCAGCTACCCTGAAACCAGAAGAAATAGATGATGCCCGGCTCTCACCATTGACCAGTCTGACTGGGGTCACAATAAATGGTCCAAAAATGGCATGGGAGAAAAATTCAGAACAGAACACAAATTCTTTATAAAGTCCAGACTAATTGGACCACCTGAGACCAGAGGACTCTCTCAGGCTGTCGCCCTGAGATACTCTTGAAACCTTGAACCAAAACTATCCTCAGAGTATTTTTTTGCGAAAAAGCAAAGTGACATGCAAAATAAAGAACATTACCTATTACATCTCTGCTCTACTAAAAAAACATCTGTATGAGCCCAAAAGGTCAAAATGTAATCTGTTGGAAAAATCAATCAACCACCATCAAAAGACGTATTGCTTTGGGCAAATCTGTTGCAAAAAAACCTCTTTCTTCAAGTGCTGAAGAGCAAAGATATCTCCTTGAAGACTAAGATATGCGCCTAACCCAAGCTATGAATTTTCAATCACCTCATATGCATGTGAGAGCTCGACAATGAATAAGGAAGACCAAAGAAGAGTTGATGTTTTTGAGTTGTGGTGCTGGTGAAGAATGCTGAAAGTACCATGGACTGCTAAAAGAACTAACAGATCTGTCCTGGAGGAAGTGCAGCCGGAATGCTCGTTGGAAGTGAGAATGGCCAGACTTCATCTCACCTACTTTGGTCATGTTGTCAGAAGGGACCATTCTCTGGAGAAGGAAGTCGTGCTTGGTAAAGTGGAGGGTCAATGAAAGAGGGGAAGGCCCTCAACAAGATGGATTGACATAGTGGCTGCAGTGATGGGCTCAGGTATAGTAGGGATCAAGAGGCTGGGACAGGACCAGACAGTATTTCATTCTGTTGTATGTAAGGTTGCTATGAGCCAGAGACAACTCAACAGTACATAACAAAAACAAGAAGCAAAAATGAACAGACTAAGGGGACAGGGAAACTAGAGCTCTAGAAATGAAACCACCAGAACACAAAGAAAATGTTAACACAAATGAAGAATGTAACTAATGTCAGTTTGTGTTGGGATTGTCAAACAGGAACCTAACTTGCTGTGTAAACTTTTGCCAAAAACACATAAACCAAACCAAACTCATTGCCGGTCAAGTCGATTACAACTCATAGCAATCTCTCCTTGGGTTTTCGAGGCATTATCACTACGGAAGTAGAAGATTGCCCAACATTCCTTCCAGGAGTGGCCGGTGCTTCTGATTAGCAGTCAAATGCCTTAGGTACTATGTCACCAGAGCTCCCAAAAACACAGATAAAAATCTTTTTTAAAAAGGGGGAGATATCCTAAATCAAGTCTGCTCAATCTGAGTATTTGATTATATTCTGAATTTGCTTATAACCCGAGTTACATTCATATTGTCTGATGGCTCTACAATAGTTACAATGGTCACATTTTTTAGGAAATTTGATTAATAATAGATTTTATTTTCCAATTAAAAATTTAAAGATAGGCACCTATACAGTTTTGTAGGCTTTCTGAGTCACAACCTCTGTTTAAAGGAGAGCAGAAAGATGAAGAGAGTCTGTTAGGGTCACACTATGATCCTTTATTCTCACAATTACATTTTTAACTGTTCTGTATGTGTATTTGGTAATATGTTGAAACCTGTGTAAGCCAGAACTCAGCCTTGTTTTTCTGAGTTTGTCAAGTTTTCCACTTTTGACAGGGTACAGTCTTACCACTTCCCTGTTAGTCATTTGGTGGGAAATATTTGCATTTTCCTTCTACAGGTTTCTGCCTTCCTTACACAGGTTCCAGCTTTCATGGTTTTACTATATAAATACATTATATTTAATGTCATAGAAATTCTTTGTAGTGATATTTTTTGGGAAAAGAACTGACAACCACCAGAGGCTACTTCTAAATGACTTCTAATTTAATTTTCATGAATATTTCAAGCAGAACTGAATAAAAGAAAATGAATTCCCTCCCTAGTAATAGTGGATGAGGGTTAGTGAGAATGTGTATGGGTTAGGGAGATCATTGTATAAAATAAAAACAATTACATTATGATGGGATTAATATTTAAGTTAAAATTTCTCTGTATTAAAACACTAGAATCAGTCTGCCTTGCTTCAGCCATTAGAACCCTGTCCCATTGGTAATAATAGTGTCTTACATGTATTAAGTGCCAACCATGTACCAGGGAAACCCTGGTGGTGCAGTGGTTAAAAAAACTTGGCTACTGACCAAAACATTGGCAATTCATACCCACCAAGCCATTCATAGAACTCTGGTAGCGTAGTGCATAAGGCATTTGACTGCTAACCAGAAGGCTGGTGGTTCAAACCCTCCAGCCACTCCTCAGAAGGAAGGTTGGGCAATCTACTTCTGCAGTGAACTACCTCAGAAACACAAGGTGGGGTTGCTTTGAGTTGGATCCACCTTGATGGCAGTGCGTTTTTTTGTTGTTGTTGTTAAGCCTTTCATGGAAGGAAGATTTGGCAGTTTCCGTCCTTAAAAATTTAGTCTTCATTAATACTATGGGTACTTTTACTGTGTCCTATTGGGTCACATTAAGTGAGAATCAACCTGATGGCTGTGGATTTTGGGGGGGAAAGTTCTATTTTCAACATTTTACATGCATTACTTAATGTTCAAGACAAGTCTATAAGGTGTTTTGTTGCTGCCATCAAGTTACTTTCTGACTCAAGGCAACCCGTCGTGTGTAGAATAGAGCTGCTCTGTAGGATTTTCAAGGCTGTGACCATTTGGAAACAGATCTCTGAGTATGTCTTCTAAGGCCCCTCTGGGTATGTTTGAACCACCACCATTTCAGCTAGTAGTCAAGCGCTTAACTGTTTGCACCACCCAGGGTGTAGGTATTGTTACTTACATTTTACAGATGAGAAGGCCAAATACTTGCCCAAAGTCTCACAGGGTTTGGATTCAAGCATAGACAGCCTGACTCCAAAACTCAGACTTTGAACCTCTATTTCATGTGATTGTGCCATCATCTGAAAACTGTTCTTGGGGAAGATATGTATATACCATACCCTTTGAAAACAGAATCATTTCTTAGTCACGTGTCTGGAACTGCTGTAGCCTCTGTATTCTAAAAGTCCAATCAGTTTTAAAATGGTCTTTCTCACCCATATCAGTCAATGGAGGACTGCAACCAATACCACACCTCTGCTACAAAGTGTGACTTAAAAAATAGGAGTTCCACAGGTTGAACAATTAGGTATGTCTGTGCAGGGGGGAGTGTGCCCATGACCATGTACAGGGTTGGCAGACAGTGTTTCTACAAGTGTATTTGTATGTTCTGTAAGAATTTCTAGGTATATAGTAGAGTTAAAAAGGGACAAGGTTCTAGTCACTTCTTGGCCACACCCAGCTACCCAGAGGGACTGAGTAGTTGGACCTGTGGGCTTGGGACCATGGTCGCAGGTGGTATCAAGCTCAATTGGCATAACATACTGTGCATAAACATTGTTCCACATCCTATGTTGGTGAGTATCGTCTGGGATCTTAACAGCTTGCAGGCAGCCATCTAGGTACAACGATGGATCTCTCCTTATCCAGAGCAAAGAAGAATGAAGAAAACCAAAGACGCATGGAAACAATTAGTCCAAGAGACTGGTAACACCATGCGATCCTCAGCCTACATGACTATGAGAAGAACTAGATGGTGCCTGGCTACCACTCTCAACCACTCAGAGAGGGATCTATGTAGGAGATCCTGGATAGAGTGGGTGAACAATGTGGAACAAAACTCAAAATCATTTAAAAAAAAAAAAGAAAAAACAGGTTTGGTGATCTGATAGAGCCTGGAGAAACCCCTGAAACTATGGCCCCTGGCTGTCCTTCAGGTCTGGAATTGAACCCATTCCTGTGGCTTCCAGCCAAACAAAAAACAGGCATATGAGCTGAACATTTATGTTAGGCATATACACTCCTTGGAGTGATCAGTCGTGGGAGAATAGAAGGGTTGTGTATGCCAGGGAGACAGCTGGGTAGAAGAGTCTCAAAGAGGGCAGGAGTGCATGGGAGGGAAGAACACAGGGAAGAGGTAACTATGGGGAGGAAGCGGGAAGAGAGCTGTTGCATTGTGGGAGAATATGTCAATGTCATGAGAAAGTGTATGTGAACTGCTGTATGGAAAATGAATTTGCTCTGTAAACTTTCACCCAAATCACAATAAAAATTTTTAAAAGTAGGAGTTCAGCTAATAATCTTGTTTTGTTTTGGGTTTTTGTGTGTATCTATTTATAAACCCTGTTATAAAGGTCCCTTTAAAGCTTATATATCAAAAAAAAAAAACTCACTGCTTTTGAGTCGATTGAACTCATAGCAACCCCTCCTTGGGTTTCCGAAGTGGTATCTCTATGGAAGTAGATTGCCCAATCTTCCTTCCGAGGAATGCCTTGGGCACTATGCCACCAGAGCTCCATTAAAGGTTATAAACTCATCTACATTTAGTAAGATGGAAAATGATGGTTTGCCAGCTCCCTAATTTTAAGAAGTTTAGCAGTAAGTTGTATTTTCTTTGTAAGGCTGTCATAAATCATTTCTACAAAAATGTCCCTCCCTAGCAAAGAAATAGTTTATAAATCTATCAGCTACAGGCTATATTTTCTTTGATATATTCTTTATAGTGCTAAATATAGAAAGAATATCTGGGAATTTAAGCAAAATAATTATGCTGTACTGACGGGGTAATTATTTAAACCATAATTCTGTTTTGTTTTAGTACCTGACTTCTAAATCTTACCCAAACCAAACAAACCAAACTCACTGCTGTCGAGTCAAACCCAACTCATAGTGACCCCTCCTTGGGTTTCCAAGGCAGTATCACTACAGAAGTAGCTTGCCCAACCTTCTGAGGAGTGGAATTGTCTAGTGGTTAAAAAAGCCTCAAAGAGGAAAAGAACTAGATGGTGCCCAGCTACCACTTGTAATCTCTGAAAGGGATCACAATAGGAGGTCCTGAATAGACTGGGAGAAAAAAGTGGAACACAAGATCATGAAAAAAGACCAAGCTTACAGATCTGAGAAAGAATGGTGGAACCCCTGAGACACTAGCCCTCAGACCCCTTCAGGCTGAGAATTGAACTTCCATGGCTCAACATTCAGCCAAACTATAGACAGGCCTATAGGTGAACAATAATAGCATGAAGGTATGCAGTCATTAGCACAGTCAACTCATATGAGATCATTTGCCCAGGGATAAATCTATGAAGCCAGAAAAGGAAAGGAAGGAAGGAAGTAGAAAAAATGGAGTGCTGTTACATTATGGGGATTGCAGTGAATGTCACAAAATACAATGTGTATGAATTGTTGAATGGAAAACCAGTTTGCTCTGTAAACTTTTACCCAAAACACAATAAAAGGAAAAACCCTCAAAATCAAAGTAATAAAAGATAACAAAGCTAATAAGCATTTTATTGGGATTCTTTTCATTGAAAGACCTAAACATTCATTTCTCTTCATGAGAAAATAGTTTTTCTTCCTTGAATCTTGTGCTTCTTTCCATTTGGTATTCCACATGTATAGGTTTTATTAGTTTTTTTGTTGTTTTTTACTTAGTCAAGTAACATTTTACCTCATAGGTTATTAACAACTTCTTTTAAATTTCATTATTTTAAAAACAACAGTTCTATAAAGACATGGCATTCCATAGTTCACTAAGTTGTTTATATTTTATTTCTAGGAAATAACAGTACAACAGCTAATGGCTCATTTGGATTCCATCAGGAAAGATATGGTCATCTTAGAGAAAAGTGAATTTGCAAATCTGAGAGCAGAGAATGAGGTGATAAAAGTTTTAAGTTATTACTAATAAAGTAACTAATTTCACAAGTATCTTACTTGGTGAATAGGTTAATGGGACTAAATAGCAACATGTAGTGCCTAAGGCATTTGACTGCTAACCAGAAGGCTGGCAGTTCAAACTCACCAGCCACTCCTCAGAAGGAAGATTGGGCAATCTACTTCTGTTGTGATACTGCCTCGGAAACTCAAGGAGGAGACGCTATGAGTCAGATCTGACTCAATGGCATTGTGTTTGGTTTGGTTATTAATAAGTTTTTTGATATAATTTATATTTAACCATATCTGATTTTTTTTATTTCTATGACCAAGGCTATATTTTCCAACTACCAGTGCCACTTCTTTGTTCTCTGTTCATTAATTTTTGCATTCCAATCATCAGTAATTATCAATATATCTTGATTGTGTGTTTGGTCAATTTGAAACTGAAAAAGTTGGCAAAAAAAATCTTCAATTTCTTCATCTTTGGCTTTAGTGGTTGGTACATAAATTTGGGTAGTAGTACTAGTAACTGGTCTTCCTTGTAGGCATATGGATAGTCCTGTCACTGACAGCATTGTACTTCAAGATAGATCTTGAAATTGTTTTTTTTGACTATGAATGAGACACCATTCCTGCTCAATTTGTCATAGATGTGATTCCAGAGACCGCATGATAGCATTTTGCAAGACCACTGACTTATTCATTGCAAGTACTTCTTGTCAACAACATAAATGGCAACTATTCGTGTGGACCTCACCAGATGGAATATAGGAATCATATCAATTACATCAGTGGAAAGAGGTGATGAAGTCAGTATCATCAGTCAAAACAAGACCAAAAGCTGACTGTGGAACAGACCATCTATTGCTCATATGCAAGTTCAAGTTGAAGCTGAAGAAAATGAAAACAAGTCCACAAGAGCCAAAATATGACCTTGCTTATATCACACCTGAATTTAGAGACCATCTGAAGAATAGATATGATGCACTGAACACCAGTGAAAAAGACAAGACTAGTTGTGGCATGACATTAAGAATATACATAGAAGGCTCCCGGCAAGATGGCGGACTAGGCAGAAGGATTGCACAGACCCTCTTCAACAGAGAAAAGGGAAACCAATTAACACAGACACAGAAGATAATCAAGGAAGAAGTCAAAGCTGCAATGAAAGAACTGGCGAAGTACAAGGCTCCGGGAATTGATGGCATACCGATTGAGATATTTCAACAAACAGCAATGAGTAAGGAAGGCTGAAGAAGGGTTGATGCTTTTGAGTTGTGCTGGCAAAGAATGCTGAAAGTACCATGGACTACTAAAAGAACTAACAGATTTCTCTTGCACCCGAAGTGCTCCTTGGAAGTGAGAATGGCCAGACTTCGTCTCACCTATTTTGGTCATGTTGTCAGAAGGGACCATTCCCTGGAGAAGGATGTCGTGCTTGGTAGGGTGGAGGGTCG